GAGTTTAATTCTTAGTTTGCAGTTCAGACATTATGACAGAAAATAAGAATCATGTAACAAAATATAAAACAAATGAAATAGTAGGTAAATCTAATTTTATTGAAATGTAACCCTATATAATTAGGCTAATATGCAAATCAACTGGACAGGTCACTATGATGTGCACTGACTGCCAGGGGGCAGATGCTCACGGCTGGTGAGCAGCAACACTAAGGATGTCTCACTGCTGGCTTAGGCCTGGGAAGCAGGCCTAAGCCGGCAGTTGAACATCCCCTGAAGGCTCCTGGACTGCGAGAGAGCATAGGCTGGTCTGAAGGATCACTCTGAGTTCATGAATTTCATGCACCAGGCCTCTAGTTCTTTATAAAGTACTAAAATTTAGTGTTTATTTGAAATCAAGCATCTTCTCTCTTGTACTTTCCAACATAATTTTTTATAGGCAATGTGATATATAAAATTGACATTTATTTATAACACACATAAAAAGGACAAGGCATGAAGAAAAATGCTGGTAGAAATACAAATACATATATAAGAGTATATTTAGAACAGTGAGACAAATAAGTATTTTATCAAGGTGTAATTCTAGACAAATATATTAAGAAATATAATATAGTTGTATGCTTTGGATTTAGATTACAAAATATAAAAGAATGCATATTTAACATTTTGCATTATTAACACATTATTTATATTTTACTGTATATAATGCTGTAATATTTCATGAGTACTTATTTTAGTTTTATCCACAGTCAGTGCTTAATTATTTAACCTACTAACAAAAGTAATATAAATACAGAGGAGATATTCAAGAATTCACTCTCCAAATGCCCAACTCCAAATTCCTTTTGTGTTGACCTTACTTTTAGTTGCTTAGTGTATAGTTGAGGAGGAAATAATTGAAATACCACTGAATGCCAAAAATAAGTACTGAAATGGCTAGCCAATTCAGAAATATTTCTAGTTAGCTGAAATTATATGACATAAACACACATTGTGCTCTTACTTATGTATAGCTATTTTCATAGTCAATTGTCAAATTTGAAATATTTTGAATTTATTTACTTATTAAGCAGTAATATATTAGTTTCTTTGTGTGATTTAGATATCATGATGTTATGAGTTTTATATCATTAACTAGATAAAACATAATCATGTAGACTGTAGTACCTTATGAATTTTGCACTTCAATATAATTTTCTAGTCATAGTTCTTATAATTCACCTACTTACATGAAGCACTTCTACAAAATTAGATTATTTTAATTGTCAAGATCCCAAAATTTTATAACTTTTTTTCTTGTTTTCCTATTCTTTCGCTTTCTTTTCCAATTGTACCTGTCGAATCCTATTAATTTTTGAGGTAATTTAAATCAGATTACTATCTCCTTCAGAAGGCCTCTCTCGGTCTTTGGAATTAGATGTGGCCACTCCTTTTTTAGATTCTCAGTTACAAGTGTACTTCTCTGATGTCACTTAAAACTTGTGTATGTTTATGTCTAAATGTGACTTTTTAAATTTGCTAAAACTTTATGAAAAGGAAAGATATTTGGTAAAATTTTTTAATGTTAATCTTCACCTGAGTATATTTTCCCATTGATTTTTAGAAAGTGTGGAAAGGAGGGGGAGAGACAGAGAAATATCAATATGAGAGAGACACATTGATTGGTTACCTCCCACACTGGCTCCAACCAGGGAAGGAGTCTGTAACTAAGGTATGTGACCCTGACTGGAATTGAACTTGGGATCCTTCAATCCATGGGCTACTGCTCTATCTACTGAGCCAAACTAGCTAGGGCGACTTTTGGTAAATTTTTGAATTTTTTTATATGGATTAGCTGAATGTTCTTTAATGTTACACCATGTAGATTCATACTACACTCATTTGACTTGAGTTTTCATTTTTAAATTTATTGAAGTACTACACAAAAGAATGATTAAATAGACATTTTTCATTACTATATGAGAATTTATATATTCACATGATAATTTTTTAAAAATCCTTCAACTTTCTTAAATGTCTTTGGGAGCTCTTGGATTTAACTGAGTCATCTTAAAACCCAGAAAGTTGAATACATTTTGTCAATTTAAGCACACAGTAAACCTCTTTCTTGAGGCTTTAGGTTTCTCTTATAAACATCCTTCTCTCTTTTCTGCTAATTTGTCCATGAACTGACCCTAGTCTTCCCCCACTCAGGATCCCAATTAAAGAGAAAAAAGCGCTGGATACATGCTGAAGCTGATGTAGAGACAGCAGCAACTCAAGAGATAGTAGAACTTTCTGGAAATTTAGAAATTCTTCTCAAGAAGAAAATAGGCTGATATAGGATGTTTTGTAAGTTGTGAGTGCATATGTAAAACCAACTCAACCCAGTAGATAAATATTGAAAGCTTTAGGTTGGAGAATGATCCAAATTTAGATTCTATTCATATTAAAAAGTAATATGATTTTCTAAAATTCAACATCACAGGAAACATAAAGAAATAAAGATAATTACTTTGAAAGCAAAAGTATTTTATAAAAAATAACCAGTTATTTTATAAAAAAAGTTTATATGCTAAATGAAATGCAGAGATCTAAATGATTTAAATTATTTTTGAAAATTGAACAATATAATATTTTCTTCCCCAGCACACCACTTAGAACAATACCACAGCCAATATATGTCTGTCGAGTCCTTGTGGCATGAAAAGAAAATCATCATAATACCAAAAATTATATAGCACATTTCATGTGCCAGCCATTTTTCTGTTTTTAAAACCTAATAATCAGTTTAATGCTCATAACATGCCTCTGAAGTCAGGGTCTATTACCATCAGCCTCACTGTCCCGATGAGAGAGCTGAGAAGAGAAGACAGATAACTTGCTGAAATGGCAGCGCTGAGACTTAAACCTCGCTAAGACTTCAGGGTCTCTAGTGTAATGATCTTTCCTACTACACTATGCGAACCTCCACACACCAGAAACAACTGTGATTTCATTGACAAAGGCCAACCAAGTCTGTCTTCTTTAGTGACCTCTACACTTCGGAAATTTTCAACGTTACTAACCTCATTGTCTTTAATTGTTCTGAACAAATGGGCGACTTCTGAGCAACCCGAGCTGCTGCCCAGAATCTCCATCAGTGCCCTTTGCTTCTGAGAGGGTCAGAGGCACGCTGGGCCTTTAGTGCAGAGATCCAGGAGCTGGGGCTCCCCCAGGGGAGAGTGCCTCACAGAAACTCAAAAAGCGGAGAGGCTTCGAAATGCTTCCCCAAAGCAATGTCAATGTAAAGGTTATCTGCTCCATTCAGACTTTCCTGTCATCTGAAGGGGAGGCAGAGAACAAAAACCCTGCCAGGAGAAGGGGAACACACAGCAGGAGAGACTGGATTCTCTTCCACTTCAGAGGTAGATGTTTTGACAGAAAAAGCAGGTTGGAAGAAAAATGCCCCAGTGAGATGGGGTGGGGAGGAGAGGAAATGACTGGTAGATTAGAAAACCGCGGGTCTGAGCGTTGGAGACCTATGGAGCCCTATCATCCATTCTCATTACACGGCTGCCTCTGTGGGCTCTGAACGGCTCCCACTGGTCTCCCTTTAAATAACTCCCGCTACACGACTTTCTCCCGAGAGTTCATTTCTGACCCGACCATTTAAAACCTCTACCTGACATTCGACCTGCTGCGCTTTGGTCAGTTTCATCTTGTTTCTTCAGTTATTTAATCTGTTGGCAAGCCACACCATGTCTCTCCTGTAATAGACTTACAGTCTTCAAACATCAGTGAAATTGTTTTATCTCTTATTCTGATGACATAAAAGTAGAAAAATGATAATTTGAACATCAAAGATTTCAACTACATAAAAGGCGCCTGTCACTGTGAATAGCTATACAGTAAATGCTTTCTGCACTTTCCCCTAACTACTCCTGTTCAAGCGGGGGAGAGACTTTTTTTTTTATTACAGTAAAGGGAAAAAGTGGCCCAATTATTTGACTGTTTTAGGTCAGTCTTCTTTAGAGGGTTGGAGTGATTATCACTTCAGAGTTAGTCTTCGAAGCTGTGTAGATGACAAATGCATCCACGGAGAATCGGGCCCCGAGAAATAACTTATTCAAAGAAGATTAATTAAGACTATGAATGTCATAATTTTTAATATTAAACATATTTGGTTTATTGGGTTTGGCCATCTATGCAGAGTATATATTCTTTTGTTCGTGGGTCCACACTGGTAGCTCACTTAGCAGGATCCTGTTAACTTTCAGATTTTATACAGACTCTGACCTTCTTCTAGCCACATCTGCTCCCACTGACCTGACAATCCCATGTTCTCCTCTTGGGCTCAGGCAATAGCCTTCCTCTAGTCTCCATGACATCTTTCTTGTCCTTCAAACTAGTCTACCAGTCAGTGTGAATCTTGCCACCCCTATGCTCAAGGACCTTCCATAGCTCCCCATTTCACTGAGAAAAAAAAGCCAAAGCCATAGAAGACCCATTTTATCTGAAGCCTACTGGTTCTGTCTATTTGCATTACTCTAGCCATGCTGGCCAGCCTCCTGCCTTTTCTTCTAACAGGTCAGGCATGCTCCCTTTGCCCTGCTTTGGTCCCTCTGTCTGGAATAATCTATATTTCTAATTCCTCCAATCCCTTAAAGTTTTGATTCTAGTATCACTTTTTCCATGAGCCCTCACATGATCACCCTATTTTAATTTGCAACATAGCACCTCAACACCTGCCTTCCCCCTGCCCTTACCAAACTGTATATTGTCCCGGAGTACTCATTCACATTTAATATGCTCCCCAAATGTAATCAGATGTCATGCATATGGCTTATTTTCTCATTTTCTTTGCTAGAATCTGTTCCAGGACAGCAGAATCAGAGGTTTATCTTGTTCACAGATATATTTTGAGAGCCTCAATAGGGCCCGGGGCTCAACAGATTCTTCTTGAATAAAGGAGGAGATGAAGAACTTGAATGGGGCTTTTTAGCGATGAGCATGGAAATAGATGAAAAGTAATTACGTTCTACTAAGAAATATTTTGATCAAGTTGAAGTAGTGTGATGTACCATATTGTGTTATTCTAGGGATGCCATTGTTTAAAGAGTACGGATTAGTCAGGTATGTTTCTACCCTGAAAGAAAATTAATTCTTTAGTGTCCTCTTACTAGATGTAATTCACATTTGACATTAAATCAGCCATTTACTTTTCAGGTTATAAAAAGGAGAATATTGTTCTTTGTAAAAGAAGTGGGTATTGATAATCAATTATAATGCACATATGCGCAGATCCTCTTTATGTTATAAGCAATTTCATTTAGTCAATAACTCACTAATTAAGAAATGATTTATTGAGTCAAAGTTGTACATTCATTTATATATTCAACTATTATTTTATATGTATATCAATTAGATTCAGGTACTGAAAATGTACTGAGAATTAAAAGATTAAAAAAGAGACAATATTCTTGCTCCTGAAAAGAACACTGTGGTGAAGAGAAATAAATAAGAAAGCAAATATAATGCCATGTTATCAGAAAAACAAAAGAGGTGTTTATAATACTTAAGAGAAAGGAGCGTTTTAACTTGGAGGTTCTGGACAGACTTTTAAAAAATATATATATTTTTATTGATTTCAGAGAGGAAAGGAGAGGGATAGAGAGATAGACCCATCAGTGATGAGAGAGAGTCTATTGGCTACCTCCTTCACACCCCTTACTGGGAGAGATTGACCCCACAACCTGGGCATGTGCCCTTGGCTGGAATGGAACCTGGGACCCCTTCAATCTGCAGGCCAACACTCTATCCACTGAGCCAAACCAGCCAGGGCTGGACAGACTTCTTAAAAGTAGTGATACATAATCTGTGTCCTTGATGCCTAGATTAATGCATGGTTAGAGGAAGATTTTTGTGCTTTTTAAAATTGAAGCATAGTCTAATCAGTAACCTACACACAAATCATATTGTAGGATGGATTTTTGTCTAAGAAAATTATCTAAATGCACAGATTTCCATCTTTTTGTAATTTTCCTTACTTGTTAAGATCTACATCACCTCTAGGTTTGTAACTTTCTATTCAGTGATTACATTTGGCATTATGAGGACACACTTCCAAGGTTTGCATGGGTAGTCTTTCTACTTATGAGTTCCTTATCTCATGATAATCCCTTGATTTCTGGTTTTATCAATCAAATATTATTACCTCCAATGTTAATGTTTCCACTGGAAATCCAATTCTAATGTTACATTCACATGAAAAATGTACTTACAAATCACAACACTTCTTTAGAATGAGCCCTTCCCTAGTCCTTCTGCTATCGACTGAATGATTGTAAACCCTGCTCCCCCCCCCAATTTATGTGTTGAAATCCTAATCCCCAATATGATGGTATTTGGAGAGGGGGCTTTGGGAGGTAATTAAGTCTTTAGGTTGGAACCTTCATGGTGGGATTAGTGTCTCATGGAAAGAGACAGGGAGAGAGCTTGTCTTGCCTTTCCCTTGCCTTTCTCTTTCCTTTCTCCCTTCCTCCCTTCCCTCCTTCCTCCCTCCCTCCCTTCCTCCCTTCCCTCCTTCCTCCCTTCCTCCTGCACTCCCACAAGGGGAGCACCACTAAGCCAGAAGCCCAGAAGCTGGGCTCAAGGCTGGAAAGTGCAGCAGCAGGGGTGGTGGGAGCCTCTTCTGCCTCTGTGGCAGTGCTAAGGGAGCCGGCCTAAGCTGTCAGTCAGACATCCCTCCCTCCCTCCCTCCCTCCCTTCTCTCTCCCTTTCTCTCTCTCTCTATCTGTGAACCAGAAAAAGCATTCTCATGAGAACCCTACCATGCTGGCACCCTGACCTTGGACTTCCAAACTCCAAAACTGTAAAAAATAAATGTTTCTTGTTTAAGTCAATCAACTAGTGGTATTCATTATAACAGCATGAAAGGACTAAAACAGCTTCTCATAAGTAAATCTGTCCCTATTTTAAGATAGCAGATATTGCACATTAAAAATTCTAAGGCATTCTTAATAACTATTACAGCTAATAATAAGTTCAACAAGTCCATATGGTACAAGATAATATAAAAATGAGTTGTATTTCTATCACTAGCAATGAACAATCAGAAAATAAAGTTAAAGCAAAGTAGACCAAAGTTCAGAAAAGTTAATGACCTCACACAAGTCCACTTAATTGATAATAGGGGCCAAATCTAGGGTGACAACCCAAGTCTCCTTGTCTCTAATGGCCTTTGTGCACTTTTCAACATCTTGTGCATATATAGGGAAAATAATATATTTCTGAAACACCCATTTTTACTTGCCTGAATATTTGATAACCATTTTCATTTAAATGCATTGATTAGTTTATGATTTATAAACAAATGCAAATCTGAAAAGACTGTCTTACATTTTATGCTAGTAAACAACACACATAACTTTCCTTTTGGTTTATGAATGAAATATGAATTATACCTGAAGCATTGCCAAAAGTGTGGTCAAAATCTGGTCCAGTGAAAGGAGGAAAGGTATTGCCCTGAACCCTTTCCCATTCATTATCATCATTTAGATCCTGCATCCAGAAACAAAAGCCATCTTCAAAATTACAGTTAATTTTCTCATAATCTGTGAATTAAAAAAAGAAAACATTTCAAGTTTAGTCTACATGTGACTAGTTGTAACAGATTGCATTGAAAATAATCTAAGCTTATAGAGGTTATAATTAAGTGGCATGCACAAAATCTTCCTTTTTAATTTATCTTAACTCTGTTTCACTTCCTTTAGTTAGAAAATCCAGCTTTTTGTGCCAACTGTTTTAGAATAGTATCTTTCTTATACTTCATTAAAACGTTAGCAAAGATAAGCTTCTTGGTTTTTAATTTTACATCTTATCTCCACTGGCTTACCTACGTAACCTTTGTCCCATATTTTGCTTTCTTCCTATTACTAACTTTGGTATTCTAGTAAAAAAGAAGTTAGTGTAGAGCACCTGCAGAATTACTTTTATGCTAATTTAAAAACTTTACTTTGAATTCTTGCAGTATATAAAATTTAATTATTTTATTGATTTATATTTTCCCTCAAATTGGTTATCTGAGTCTTTTGATGAATATTAACTATCTTCTAATTGTTCATTCCTTTCTAAGTATTAAGTAGAGAGAGGTATACATAAGAGATACTCATTAAAAAACTTGTCTAATAAAACAGATTACAAACTTGTTCTAAAATTTTAGGTTCTGCAACTTTTAAAATTCCATTACAATATTAAGATATCTGGAGATGCAAAGGCTGAAGAATAAATAATACTTACTATTAAGTTCTCTGCTGTTAAATGCACTGTATGTTGCATGAAAGCCAATATAATCATTTTCATCTGATTCTATAAGAAAGGTGGCAGTAACTTGGTTGGAAAAAATTCTAATTGTGCCAGGATTACTTTCTGAGAGAGAAGCTACAAAAGAAAATGAAAGTACATATCTGTTTATCAATTCATTCATCTATCCATTCATCCACCTATTGATCTACCAATCTACTACCAACCTATCTAATACCACTGAGGTAACTAAAAACATTGATCATAGGATTAATTAATTTTATTTTAAATGACTCTTCTTCTAAGCATTAGAAAAACAAATTATTATACATGTTTATGGCTTGAAAAAACTACATTTTAATTTTTAATTACTTAGCTACACCATATATACATAAATATATGCATTCTTTACTGAAAAAACATTTGTTTAAGAAACATGCTATGCTAACAGGGGCTAAATTCTGTCACAATAATAGAAACAAGAGTACTTCTTTGATTTTCTATCCATATACCAGTAACTGTAGGACCTCAAGATAATATGTGGTGACTTCAGGATTTTTTCTACTTTATGTTGATTTTGTAATATTGACTTACATTGATTATATTATTTCTATTGCATATTGATTTTATCATTTTTGTCTTGACTTTAACCTATGTAAGGAATATTTTTCCAGACTTAAGATTCTGAAGAGTTAGAATAGTGCTCAGGATATAGAAAGTACTCATATGATGTTTTACTAAAATTGTTGTTATATGAAATTTGTTTTTAAATTTATATGAATGTATTTAGCATATATGTTCACAATGGGGATGATATTGCTTCTCAAGGAATAAAATTTGTTTCTCAGGGGGGAAAAATCTGAATTTTTAAATGTATGAAGCCAAGATATGCATATAATGTATAAACAGATATACAGAATATCTAAAATATTAAACTTTCATGGGAGAGGAACTAGGTTAAAAATAAAGGTTTAGCATTTTTGTTTGATAATTTGAACTGGGTATCTGATTTAGGTTTCTGAAAAGTATCACACTTGCAGGTTGGAGACAAAGCACCTTATTGAGTTCTAAAGAAAGATCCTCTTATGAACTATTGAAAATTCTGTGCTTATCACATAGAACTTAGTAAAGAAAGTGATGCATAAATGAAGATTTCAATAGAATATAAAAGAAAGAACATCATAGACAAGTGTTGATTCACATCTTGCTCTTTGCCTCAAAAATGTTGCATGTCATTTTTCCAGAATTTTCCCACAAAGAACTACATTGATTTAGACTCCGCCCACCATTACTTTTATATAACTGTATAACCCAAATAACTCCAATATTGAAAATCTTTATAGGCCATAAGTGTCCACTTGCTCAAAGGATGTGACTATCCTAGAAACTTTGCTTCAAAGAACTATATTGATTTAGACTCTGCCCACCATGACTTTTATATAACTGTATAACCCAAATCACTCCAATATTGAAAATCTTTATAGTCCATAAGTGTCTACTTGCTTAAAGGATGTGACTATCCTAGAAACTTTGCTTCAAACCCATCTAACTCTGCTTTTTTTTTTTCTCATAGCAATGGGACTGTTTTTGGACAATGGCTTCTGGTTGGGTCTGAATGTGGTTCAGTGGCACCCTGGATGGTTGTACTGTGTTGGATCCTCAGGCTTTCTAATGGTATTGTACTAGTCTAGATAGTCCAGAGACTTATGTCCTGAGGTCCATCACCACGCTCCAGAGATACAGACAAACTTCTGGAAATGGTGTAGCATGTTTGTGTCTGTAGAGACTTTATAAACGTTCATCAGAATCTTAAAGTCTCCTTGACTAGAAGGAGACTCAGAACGTGGATCCAGAGGAAAGCACATACCTGATGCCTCCAGGAAGACAGCAGCAGGTGGTGGTTAAGAGGAGGGGCTCCAGAGTCAGCATGAGAGTTAGTTCTGACTCCATATCTTACTAGCCTTCTCCGTGTCTCAGTGCCCTCTGATATAATAATACTTTCCATAAAGGTTTGCAATAAGAAGGAAATGAGTAACTTTCGTGTGTTACAGTGACTGGTGTATAGTAAATGCTCAATAAATACTATCGTGTCTCCTTCTCCCTAAATAGGTTGTAAGCCCTGAAAACATAGAGATTATACCTAATGCCTTCTATGCCTCTGTCATTCTGCCTGAGCATCAGAAACTTTTAAGCAAATTTGGGTGCCAGATTAATATATGAGGAACTAGAGTGAGAGAGTTTGCCTACATGAAAGAATCAGGTCTGAAGTTGAAAGAAAAAAAAGTTTCCTAATGATTTTTAAAGGCTGGATTTTTCTAGAGCACATTCAATACATTTTTAGACAATAATTCCTTATGAGAATCCATTGGCTTCTACTGAAACCATCTTATACTTCTATAAATATTAATTTCCATAAACTGGCCAAATAGTCATATTTAAAAGTGAATAAACTCATCATTTGTCTTTTAACAGCAAAGCCTCTGGCGAGTAGGTCTTGTGAAAGAGGACGGCATAGAAGCATGAATAAGATACAAGGAAATTTGAAAGGAGGGCGATGGACAGGAAAGACACTTTCTGGAGAGTATGAGTCTAAAGACCTAGCCCCAAAATATTGATACCATCCAATTTACAAGAGAGGAAATTCTGCCACTAGAGTGTGGTCTTTGTGTGTTATAAACGTTTTGTTGCGTGCTCATGATTAATTTGGTATGGTGTTAAGTGCTAGTGACATGGGGAAGAAATAACCAGGTCCCCCTATTAGAAAAGTTCAGATTGGTGAATTATAGAAAAATAACTTTGGAATTAATCTATATGGGAGAAATGCCATAGGGACATCAAGAAGGTGTATGAGGAAATCATCTGTAATTTATCTGGGCACTATGATTGGAGAATCTTTGAGAGTTTCTGGGAAGACCAACGCTTTAAGTCAGTGCTTGTTAAACTTTTCCATATAAATAATCCCATCAATAGAAGCGAGTGAATGGGTGCTTCTAAGTTAACACAAGTGTTTGAATAAAAGTGCAAAGTTAATCAAAATGCTTGACTTTGAAAAATATTGGCATGTATTACTTAATCCCATATCCACAAAATGATTATTTTGTTGTAGCGTAAGTTGACGATTCAGGAAGATCCACTATGTTTATTATACTCATGTGTGCTTAACTTTTAAAAGCAGCCTCTGTGGAAAACAGTATGGAATTTCCTCAGAAAATTAAAAATAGAGCTCCCATTTGACCCAGCAATCCCATTTCTAGAAATATATCCCAAGAAAATAGAAACACCAGTCAGAAAGGACATATGCACCCCTATGTTCATAGCAGCACAATTTATAATAGTTAAGATTTGGAAACAACCTAGGTGCCCATCAACAGATGAGTACATTAAATGGTTAAGAGTTCCTTCCTTTTTACAGCAATGTAGTTCCATTACATCTACACAATGGACTACTACACTGCTGCATAAAAGAAGGAACTTCTAACCATTTGCATCAGCATGGATGGACCTGGAGAGCATTATTCTAAGTGAAATAAGTCAGTTAGAGAAAGATAAATATCACATCATCTCACTCCTATCCTATTTAATAAAACCCTAATATGCAAATCGACTAAATGGTGGATTGACTTGTCACTATTACGCTCAACACAGGAGCTGCCCCCTGGTGGTCAGTGCACTCCCACAGGGGGAGCACCGCTCAGCCAGAAGCTGGGCTCATGGCTGGCAAGCGCAGCTGTGGTGGGTGGTAAGGAGTGAGGGGTCCCAGACTGCGAGAAGAATATCTGACTGCCAGCTTAGGCCCTATCCCCTCAGGCCTAAGCCAGCAGGTGGACATGCCCCGAGGGGTCCAAGACTATGAGAGGGCGCAGACCAGGCTGAGGGAGCCCTCTTCCCCCCATGCACAAATGTTGCATTTACATTCCTTTAGTGTGGAATGTAATGAACAACATAAACTGATGAACTAAAATAGATCCAGAGACATAGAAGCATCGAACAGACCATTTAACCTCAGGGGTCTGGTAGGGGGAATTGTGAGAGTGGAGGGGAGATGAGAGATCAACCAAAGGACTTGTAAGCATGCATATAAGCATAACTCATGGACACAGTCAGTAGAGGGGTGAGGGCATGTGCTGGCGGGGAAGTGGGAACGAGAGGGGAGAGGTCAATGGAGGAAAAAGGATTCATATGTAATACTTTAAACAATAAAGAATTTAAAAAATAAAATAAAATAATAAAAGCATGGCCTTGAGTTGTTAAGCTATAATATAGGGGTATGTTGTCAGCAGTTATTTGGGAATGGAATGACCGCTAAGTGCTTGGGATAAAAAGAATGGCATATCAACCACACACTCAGAAACACATTTTCTCAGCTTGGCAATTTGAAATCAATTTCAGTGTGCTCACCCAGGCTATTTTTATTCAATTTCTTTGAGGATGCACAAAACATCTATGTATTTTTCTCAACAAAACATTAAATTAGTACACTTGGAAGTTGTAATCTTCCACCACTTTCATACCCGGTATTGATAATTATTACCATCACTGAATACAATATTGTACCTAAAACACTTTTGAAATACTTCTCCATCAACCTATTCTGACTTACCTCAATTCCTATAATTATTTAGAAAAAAACTCTACTGCACTCGAAATCATCTTCTTTTATCTAATGCCTACCTTCCTCTGACACTTTTTACCAGTTAGAGAATTTTTACATCGTGATTTCATATAAAAATGACTGAATAATACCTTTAGAATTTGTTTACACTAACTTACTCCTAATCAAATATATAAGAACTATTTTAGCCCTAACTGGTTTAGCTCAGTGGATAGAGCATCGGCCTGCAGACTGAAGGGTCCCAGGTTCTATTCCAGTCAAGGGCATGTACCCTGGTTGCGGGCACATCCCTAGCAGGGGGTGTGCAGGAGGCAGCTGATTGATGTTACTCTCTCATTGATATTTCTAACTCTCTATCCCTCTCCCTTCCTCTTTGTATATTTTTTAAAAAAAGAACTATTTTATGGTACTGGATACTTATACTCTCTTGTACTTTCTCTGGACAATGTTATTTTCCTGATTTTAATGAAAATATTTATATATTTTCAATGTGATAAGGATAATAACAGTATTTGAGATATACATTCTGGACCGGAATTTTAATGAAAGTGAATCTTGTATGCATTTTTCACATAAAGAAACTTGCTAAAATATTTAGAAAAATACGGGATTGTGAATCAGAAATGCAGGTCTTGTCATTATTATAAAAATAACTTTAGAGTTATGAGAAATAATATTGTTCATTAATTCCTTACAATAATATCATTATATATAAACCTGTTGTTTGAACTTAAATCAATGTAACAAAGATTTTGTCAGGCTTTGTGCTAGATGCTAGACTAAGATATTATTGCCTTTCTTGAGAAAAGGTATAATTAAAAATTTTTAAATGTATTTTTAGTAGTCAATGTTATTTCTCATGTTATTTCCAAGTTAAAATTAAATTATTTAGCTTTCAAAAATTTAAAATAGATTTATA